TTTTATGTTAACAAGTACTCTGGAATACACACCATTTGGTTATGATAAGTGATTCTTTTTATATATGGCTGAAGTGGGTTTGTCAATACCTTGTTGAGGATTTTCCATTTATAATCTTGAGAGAAACGGCCTGTCAATGACCTTTTTCATACTGTTCTTGTCAGGTTTGACATCAAGATTATATGATCTTTATAAAATGAGTGGGGATTGTTACCTCTTCTGTTTCGTGAAATAACTTATATAAAATTAGACTTACTTTTTTATCTGGATCTGAAATTTCTTGATTACTAAATAAAATTGTATCTGTCATTATAAAATTATTCAGTTTCTCTATTCATTTTTCATTTAATCTTGCCAAGTTATATTTTTCTAGGAATTTTTTCATTCATTCAAATCTTCATATTATAAAGTTACTAATATTATTGACTCTTTAATATCTACACATCTGGCATAATGCTGACATTTTCCATCCTAATACTGATAATCTGCCCTTTTGTTATTTGCTTTCTTGTACAGTCTAATCAAAGGTTTGATAACTTTATCTTTTCCATCAGTTTTGGTTTTCTTAGTTTTCCCTGTTCCATGCTAGCTTCTCACTTTGATAATTTTGTTCTTACTTTAATTTCTTCTTTCTAGTACTATGACTTTTTTTCCTTTTTATAACTTTTTAAAAGTTGATGTAATATTTGTACATACTTGTGAGTTATAGGCCAGTAATCCATTATATGCATACATGTGTAATATATGTATAATGATTAAAGAAGGGTGGTTAGCATTTCTCTCTCCTCTAATATTTATCATTTCTATGTGATGGGATATAAATTCTTAGATGAATTCTTGGCCTACAAATTTTTATTCTTTATTTTTCTAATAGTTATAAATTTCCTAGTAGAAACTTCTTATGGGCATTCTACAATTTATCTACATATATAGGATGTTCATTATTGTTTTGTCTAAAATATTTATAATTTCCTTTTTGATTCTTTTAAATTGTGAAATGTTATTTCTAGCTTTAGTTGTGTTATTCATTTATACCTCGATTTTCTTGTGGCAATATTTTGAAAGCTTGAAAAAATACTATTGAGACTTACTTTATTAAAATATGCATTGATTTAGAATATGGTCAATTTTTGTTATTGTCTTACATGTGCTTGTAAAAAATGTCAGCTTTATAGTTTTATGCAAAGTTCCACATATGTTCATGAGGTCAAGTTTCTTAACTTTTCCTTTCAACTTATATCTTCCAATCTTTCTGTCCATGTTATCATCTAAACTACTAGGAGAAGTAAGTTAATATCCTTGCAATTGTTGATTTTTTAATTTATCTTTGTTGTTCTGTCATTTTTTTCATTAATATATTTTGAGGTTATGCTATTATGGGCATTTTAAATTTTAAAATTTTCTACCATCCTACTGAATTGAAACTTCAATCATTTATAAAGTGACTACCTCCAGTAATGGTTTGGGTTTTAAAGTCTATTTTGCTTAGTGGACTTTAAGTTGCACCAGTATCTATATACTATTTTCAAGTTCTGTTGTTTTCTGTTGTTATTTACCTTTTATATACGAGGGATCTGAGGGATAGTGGTTAAGAAATGAACCTAAGGGTGCAAGTGGTAGAGCCAGATAAACCCAAATAGCCTGTCTCCAAGGTCTATGTTCCTAAATATCATGCATCTCCTTTATAGTCTTAAAGTCTGCTTAGGCTCCATAGCAGGGGGAAATGCTCTCAATCTAATTTCTACAAAGAATTTCTTGTAGATTATTATCCAGTTGTTATTTTTTTCCTCGCATAAATTTTCTTGTAATATTCTAAGTAGAATACAAGAATTTTTTAAAAAAGAAAGAAAATATTCTTAATCTATAACTGCATTACTCAACCTCTTTTACTTATACACAAGAAAAAGGTGGCCGTAAATTTTTGCTTTTTGCCTTTGAAATAAATATATGCACCAGAAATCTTTCTGTGCTTGTACCAACACACAGCCCAAAGGAGCCTGCCAGCCTGCAACGTCATGGAGAGTTCTATATGGTTGTATAGTTCTACTAAGGAAAGCTCATTCCACCTAGACCTCAAGAGAGGATGTGAACTGGACTGCTTCGTCTCTCTTTGAATAAACACAAATATAGTATCTTAACAAAAAGAAGCACTAAGCAACTATGTAACCATTCTGGGATCCCATAGCTAGCATATTTCCTAAGTATTAATATTTTATTCAATAATATTTATAATAATGAATTTTAACCCATGAGAAAAATTAAAATTTTTCAGGATTTCATGATCTTGAGCTAATTTTAATTGATGTACTTTCAACTTTTATGTTAATTTTGACATGTTTATATATGTTCATGTGAGTGTATGTAGGTATTCACAAACCTAGAATTGCACTGTAACCTTACAGTAGACTCTAACTTGCTTCATTGAATGTAATATCATATATAAGTTTGTGTGTTTTTAAAAATTCTTTTAAAATATTTTATTTGCTGCATAATATTCTATGTGTATACCCAGATTTATCTAACAGCTGCTCTCTTACTGAATGGTTTGGTCAATCTCAAATTCTTTCCCCTATAAACACATAAAATGAACATGTTTATATTAAGTTTGTCTTCTTTTTAAATTATTTCATTAACTTAGATTCTTCAAAGTGAAATTGTGAGACACGGCTAGTTAGGCCCTAATATCCATTCTCTTATTCTTCCACTGTATTAACAGTGGTATCTGCAGGCTGGTAGGGTGTGATTGGAGGGAGTAGGTCCCTGGGGTGTGCCTTTTAGCAGAGCTCTCTCTGTTTCTAGATCATCATGTTAGCAGCTACCCTCCACCACACTCTTTCACCCTGACATTCTGCCTTGCCTTGAGCCCCAACAAATGAAGCTGGTTATCTATGGACTTAGTACTCTTAAACTGTAAGCCCTCAAATAAACTTTCCTCCTATAACATTGTTCTTGTCAGGTCTTTTAGTTACAGCAGCAAAAAAGCTGATGGCAAAACATGGAAGTGAACTAAAAGGGGTATGGTACCTTTCAAATGATATCCTTATTGGGAGGACACATGCTCTTTTCTTACTAATAGTTCCTTCCTGTTCTTGGAATATGGGCATGATTGCTGGAATATCAATTCTGGATATTCCAAAACACACTAGGCAAAACTCACATGATCAAAGTAGCAGTAAGAGATGAAGGTCCCAGGTCCCTGAAGTCTGCGAACACTTGCTCAGCAGTGAAAAAGCTTTTTAGACTTGACTTAAGAGAAATTCAAGTTCCTCATTTTCACATGGTTATTTTGGATTCCTTGCACCCAAATGTTTTCAAAAGTAAGAGTAGAAGTGTTTCACAGGATGCTTTGGAAATATTTCAGCAATGGGCAAATAGCAATGGGCAAATCACTTCTAGGAAATAATAATGAGTCCCCAGTATTATTGAAAGTACCCATTGCCCCATGCTCTCAATATTGTATTATAATTACAAGCTACTTTTTACCAGTAAGATAGTAATTGGTTATAACTTTGTATTTCTTTTATTTGTTTTTGCACTGAATAATTAACTTCTCATAAATTATTTGTTCTTACATCTTGTTTTTTTTGTTGTTGTTGTTGTTGTTGTTGTTGTTTATTTGTTTGTTGGTACCAGGGATTTAATCCAGGGGCACTGTACCACTGAGCCACATCCCCAGCTCTTTTTGTTTTTAAGACTGTGTCGCAATAAATTGCTTAGGGCCTCTTTAAGTTGTTGAGGCTGGCCTTGAACTTGTGATCCTTCTATCAGAAGCCTCCAGAGTCACTGGGATTATAGGCATGTGCCCCTACACCTGGCTATCATGTTACCTTTTAAATTAAGATATTAGTATCTTTCTTATGTAAAACCCTTTACATTTGATATCTGCCATATTTGTCAGAAGTATTAGTGGCAATTTGTTGTTTGTCTTTTAACTGTATTTGTCCTAGTATTTTTACTTGTAGAACTATGGAATTTTTACATAGTAGTTATTCATTTGTGATTTATTCCACTTTTGCTAGCATAAAAGTCCATTACTAAAAACTATCCTTTCTTATATATTATTTCACTTTCTATATATATATGGAGACTGATTTCCAAACATTTTAATCATTATTTAAAAATTTAACAATTTATGTTCACAAATGTACTGTACCTTGAAGTGCTAGTGACCTAAATATGAACTACTAAAAAACATAAGTCCTAGGTCACTATGCAAGAAGATCTCTTTTTCATGATTTGTTTTTAGTTGTGAACAGAAGGAGATTTCCACTAGAGATGATCCTCTTCCGAACAGCAGAACTCCTTACTTCCAGCTTTTCTTGCTGTTATCCACATGACTGTGAGTCAGCCAAAGGATTTTAAAAGGATTTTCAACTCTAGGTCTGTGGTCAGACTTTCTAGTTTGTGCTCCCAGAAGGATAAAGTTTTGGAAAAGACAAACAAGCATTTCATATGTGCACACACACATAGAAGCCCATGAAACTTTTCCGCGAGCATATTGGCAAATATTTGTTTGGTCTCAGAAAAATTTCACTTTTTGTGTGTGTTTACAGAAACATACCCTGGAATACTTAATAGTCTATGAAAATTTTTCTAAAAATGTGTGACCGATCCATTGTGACCCAAAATATTTCTTTTGCAGGAACAACAAAAAAAGGAGCAACAAATGTTTTATAAAACATTTTTCAGTGGAAAAAAAGAAACTTTGGCAACTTCAAGAAAAGTGTGTGTCATTGAGAAAATGAAAAGAAAAGAAATGTTGCTATCATTTTCCAGTGTGTAGAGACATTACCTACATCATGAGTCTCAAAATTATAATTATAAAGCCAGTTGACAACTGCATATAAAAGACTGTGTAGTATATTTTTATATGCATAAGTTTCATACATTTTTACTTATAAAGTAAAAATAAGACAAGGCATATAAAGTTCCATTTTTGTGAAGTAGCAAATGCAGCAATCACTTTTTAAAGGTACATATTATATATTTTCTGAGCATACCTTTTTCTTTCCCAGTACAGTACCACAAATCCCTGTTCAGCTTTCAGAATCTTGTAAACTGATTCAAACAGGAATCGTGTCATCAGCAAGAGGAATGCTGAAAAAAATAAAAGTAGATTATTAACATTATTTCATTTATTAAATATATATTCATATATATAAATTATACAAACTGTAAATATAGATTTACAGATATAATCACAATAAGATTGTGATTTATTAAAGAAGAGGCCTTACCTTTCTATTATAAATTTGCAGGAATTAATGTAAAAATGCTTATGTACATGTTATATCATATACAGATATGCTAATCTTCTCAGAATTTATTCATCTGGTCTAATTTTAATGAACATATCCTGCAGATACTTCAGGATGGGCTATAATAAGGTAGATTCTTATTTCTTGGAATCATTTATGAGAAGTCTTCAGGTATCTTCTGAGGTCCCTTCCTTGACAACAGGAACACTTAACACAGTCCTTGTTCAGCTCTTTCTCCATGCATCCCCAGCTATTGATCACTATGATGCCATTGCCCAGTTCACCTTCAGAAATACTACCTTACACTGTCTTGAAGAAATATAATTCTGACTTTGTTACCAATTTTCCAACTTGTTACCAATTTTCCAACTCAGGATAAAAGTGGTCCCTGTCAATCAGTTGAAATTCCCAAAAATCAGACTCATGAAAAAAGGGAACTCATCTGTGGTAGGTTCTGGATTGGTCCCTCCTCCAATGTCAATTCAATTCAAGGAAAATTGAGAGATATTTCAGTGTTCATTTTTAAAGCTTCACTGATTACATTTCAATCACAAGATTTATAGTATTTGAACAGTTTTACTATCACACTATATGTTCCTGGAACACGACTGGTATATGGGGGATTTTATTCAATCAAAACTTTAGTTAATAAGCACAGAATTCCAAAAGTCAACATGAACACAAGGAAGAATTCACATTACTTCATGAGTTTACTAACTATTCCATTGGGAAAGTATTCCA